AGGGGGAGTGAGCGAGCGGCTGGGTGGGGCTTAGTTGCCATCTGGGGTTAAATCATGACACTTCTATGAGGACCTGGATGAAACAAGCTCTCCAGCCAGTGACCAGCTCCAGCTCTTTTGTACTGGCACCAATTAACCTTCCCTAGGCTGGAGGAAACCTGAAGCTGACTTGGGCGACAAACTTCTTGACATTTGAGGTTACATAGGATGAAATCCTTGTTAGTGCTCAAGTGTTGGGCATCGGAAACACCACATTGTGTCCTCCCTTGTCTTCTGAGAAAGCACAAGGCCGCCTGCTTCTCTTCCCCACTACTGAGCCAGCAGGGGTATGAGTGTGAATCACGTTTACTACAACTGTAGGTTCAGGCTTGTCACTGTTAGCCAAGCTAATCCAAGCAGCTCCAGCTGGGGCACAGAGGCGTACTCCAACAACAGCTAGCACCCGTCTTTGCTGATTATTGCTTTGGCTGAAAGCAGCAGAAAGCACTTCTCACCTGTAATCAAGCTGGAGACAATGAGAGGAAGAACCAACATCTGGAGCATACGCATCAGCAGCTCACCGGGGAAGGAGAAATACTTGATCTGGCGATAGGTCAGCTGGTAGGGCCGGAGGGAGAATGCCAGAATGATCCCTGTGGATTAGCAAGGGATGAGAATGGAAATGGGACAGTGTGATCCAGCGGTCTGTCCCTCAGTCCTACAGCGTGGCTTTTCTCTTTCTCATCTCCTTTCAGCTCCTCTTGTCCCCAAGGGAGCAAATGCTCTTTCTTTTTCTAAAAGGCTATGATCCAGTTTTTCCTGTATGCTCTCTCTCTCCCTCTGACATATTTATATGCACAGGAGCCTCATGCTAAACCACGGGTCTCCTTGTTGCTCTGGCGTCTGTTCCCAGGAAGCTCATGAACGTAAAATGCTGTGACCAGAGATATGACCTCCCAGCCTAACCTAAGTGCGACCTCACAGTTCAGAGACTTTGTCCACCCACCTCTTAAAGCTGAGTTCAGCTAGTGAGTTACAGACATATAGCCTGGATCAAAAGCTAGGGACAATCCACTGTCTGCTGGGCAGATTTAGTTTGCATTGTATCACAGCCCTTTGCATCAGTTCCCCCTTCTGGTACTGCCAGGCTCAAGCTGTGGGATGAATCTGAAGAGCCCCTGTGCCTGTAGCTGCACTCACAAGAAGCCTCTGAACAAACCTGGATGTTTTTTTATGAGGGCTGGTAGATGGATCATCAAACCCTTTCTGTTGTAGACTGTTCCTAAGCTGCAGCCAGAAAGGATCAACAAGGACTCCCTCACACCCCCCTCCCTTGCACACAAAGGTGCTTCTGATTTGGACAGCATTTTGAGCTGTCAGCTCATCAGCTTCACCTCCCCAGACAAATCGTTATGATAAAATAAAAATCTTTGTAGAATAAACTTTTTGCCACATTATAAATGGTGCCCAGTGTTGCCACCAGCTCCATACCTAGTAAGACTGCAGCGATGGTGAAGAGGACGAAGGCATTTCTCCTGAAGAAGCTTTTAGCACTGTCAGCAGTGATGCTGTGCATCCGCTTCTTGGCCCGCGCCGCCCGCTTCTGCACCGCCTGCCGGAAGCGCTGCACCCGGCCCTCGGCATTGAGCCGCTTGGCCGCGTCCTCGTTGAGGAACAGGCTGTTGACGTGACTCTGCTCGCTCATGGTCAGCACGGCTGCTCAGTCCCCAGGACACGGCTCTGCCTACGCTGGGCAGGGAGAAGCAGAGGAGGGAAAGCATAAGCTGCATCACCCGACACCTGCCCTTCAATTTTTGTCATTTGCCTGGGACCCTGAGCAGGTTTATTTAGAGTTGATTAATGAGCTCCTCTGCAAGGAGCAGACCCCGGGGAAAGGCACCTAAAGGGCTGCCAGGGTCTTGTCACAACTGCTCTGGTGTCTCTGGAGAAGCTCTGGCCTCTGTAGCACCCAGCCTGCACTGAGGAGTGGCTAGCGGTGGCCAGGGCAGCCTGAAAGGCCTCCGCAGCCACCTCGGCTTGTTCTTAGGAGTTTCATCAGTTTGGACAGGAATGAATTTTTATCACCTGGCAATAAAACCAGTTCCTGTACACAAACTGTTCCAAAGAAGACCAAGCAGCAAACAACGTTTCTGACATACCTGCTAGATGGACAGGCCCCTACCAGAACACCTTTTCCCATGACAGCGAGCAGCACTGGCTGTTTCTGCAGAAGGGAACATAATCCCTTTGCCTTCCATGGAGCCTGAGGATAATGCTTTACTGACTTTCCTTTGAAGCACAACAGGACTTTCAAGTAGTATCTCTTGTCAATCTCTACTGGTGGGGTTAACCGGTTGTCCTGTCTTCACAAATACTAAGATCGTGATCAAACCTACTCCAAAGAGGTAAATAAAGGACCAGTTCTGCTCCATTACCTACTGGCTGCAAGGCCTGGAGCAGTCTATGGTTCTTTAACTGTTTATTTTTTACTCTTATTCACATATTCCTCAGAACAAAAGAACAAGGGGGCTACACAGCCATACCAGTCCACTCTGGAGTGCTAGAAGGCACCAGCAGTCCAACAGTTCTTACCATTAGGGGGATCACTGCCTGACTGTGCAGGTGCCATTTTCCTACTGTCACTGTGCCTTGACAGATACAAGGTCTGAAAATGATTCTTGTTCCCAGGAGTTTGCGAAGAAAATACAAGACTAGATGAAACCAAAGAAGAACAAAGTCACCTTAGGACATCAGCGGGTGCTGAAAGACCTTTCGTTGGTGTTGCAAGTCAAATAAGAGCTACTCCATTTGCAATCCTAAATTTAAGCCAAAGAAACCACCACAACTGGGATTACATTCTCTATAAAACACACATGTAGTGTCTGCCATTTGGACCCAGATAAATGCCTGTCATGAATTGAAGACATCACATTAAGGAGCAATTGGTTCATAGTACCACATTGCAAGGTCATTTCCAACAGACAGATGGAGGAAAACCCCCGTTCTGACAGAAGATTTGTTTCCACAGATGCTAATGCCTTCATGAGGTTCAGAGCAGTGGAGAGACACCTGAGGTGGCCCAGCCGTGTCACTCTAAGCCCTCCCGAGGCTAAGCTGTGTGAAGGCCACTGGCAAAGATTCTGGGCTTTTGCTGCAGGGACCTTGCAGTGCTGCTGTGGTCACCCAGGCTTTTGGCTTAGCAAACAGCATTCTGTGGATTTTGGTCCACTGATTCCAGCTTGATCACGCATTCACTTCCTTATTACACCACCCTGCTTTTATCTGTTGATGGAGCCAATATACATCAGACCGGGTGAAAACTTTGCCTGTCTTCCTCCTTTTCACTGCCAGTCATCCTACTTCTCATAGCCATGCATGAGAGAAAGAAACTGTGAAGTACATGTTACTTCAGTTCATTGAGTTTGTGCCTCCTGAACTCCACAGGAGGTTAAGAAACTATGGATTCAGTCCCCTGTGCCCTAGAATAGACCTGCAGTATTTATTTAGTAGCCTCCCAGATATAAGGTTGGACAAACAAAATTATTAGCTGTCAGGTTCCAATAAGCCAGGACTTTCACACATCTTGTATCCTCCTGTCTTGCCAGTTACTGGCATCACTGGCCCTCCAAGGAAGAGGACACCTCTCAGATCTCACCCTTTGCCACCACAGACTCACTCAATAATCCCTTTTGTGATCCATCTATCATCTTTTGTCTGCGGAATTTCCAGAAGTCTGTCCCAGAGCTTACTGCCCTTATGGTGAGAAAAGTAATTGCCTGCACTGTCAGCGGCTGGGGGGATAGAACAGAAGAGAATTGACTCTTTCAGGTGGAAGGGACCTACAGCGATCATCTAGTGCAACTGCCTGACCGCTTCGGGGCTGACCAAAAGTTAAAGCATGTTATTAAGGGCATTGTCCAAATGCTTCTTAAACACTGACAGGCTTGGGGATCAACCACCTCCCTAGGAAGCCTGTTGCAGTGTTTGAACACTCTCTCAGTAAAGAAATGCTTCCTGATGTCAAGTCTGAACCTCCTCTGGTGCAGCTTTGAACCATTCCCACACGTCCTGTCCTTGGATCCCAGGGAGAGGAGAGCAGCACCTCCCTCTCCACGTCCTCTCCTCGGGAAGCTGCAGAGAGCCATGAGGTCGCCCCTCAGCCTCCTTTTCTCCAAACAACACAAACTCAGAGTGCTCAGCCGCTCCTCAGAGGCCATGCCTTCCAGCCCTGGCACCAGCTTTGTTGCCCTCCTCTGGGCGCATTCAACAACCTTCACATCCTTCTCAAATGGTGGGGCCCAGCACTGCACACAGTACTCCAGATGAGGCTGCACGAACGCTGAATACAGCAGGATAATCCCCTCTCCTGACCAGCTGGTTTTGCTGTGTTTGATGCACCCCAGGATGTGGTTTGCCCTCTCAGCTGCCCGGGCACACTGTTGACTGCTGTTGAGCCTGCTGCCAACCAGCACCCCCAGGTCCTTTTCTGCAGGGCTGCTCTCCAGTCACTCCTCTCCCAGTTTAGACTTGTGCCCAGCGATACGCCATCCCAGGTGCAGAATCCAGCACTTGGACTGGCTCAATTTCATGCCACTGATGATTGCCCAATGCTCCAGTCTATCTAGATCCCTCTGCAAGGCCTCTTGTCCCTCAAGAGAGTCAACAGCACCTCCCAGTTTGGTGTCATCAGCAAACTTGCTAATGAGGCATTCAACTCCTGCATCCAGATCGTTGATAAATACATTGAACAGGACTGGCCCTAGGCTTGAACCCTGAGGAACACCGCTGGTGACCAGTTGCCAGCCAGATGTAGCCCCACTCACTACAACCCTTTGAGCTCTGCCCTTCAGCCACTTCTTCACCCAGTGCACCATGAACCCACTCATCCCCCAGCTGGACAACTTGTCCAGAAGGATGCTGTGAGGGACAGTATCAAAAGCCTTACTAAAATCCAGAAGAACTACATCCACCACCTTCCCTTGATCCACAAGACGGGTGACGTTATCATAGAAGGATATCAAATTAGTTACAGGACTTTCCCTTTGTGAACCCATGTTGACTGTGCCTGATGATTGCATTATTCTTTAACTGCCTTTCAGTAGCACTCAGTATAATCTTCTCCGTAATTTTTCCAGGTGCTGAGGTTAGACTCACAAGTCTGTTGTTTGCTGGGTCTTCCCTCTCATGCTTTTTGTAGATTGGAATAACGTTGGCTAGCTTCCAGTCAGCAGGGATGCAGCACAACTGCCTACAGCAGAATGGATTACCACCTAAGGCAATCACTTCCAAAAGCAGAGCCAGCAAAGAAAGTTTCAGCCCCCCAAAACTCTCTTTCTTACTCCCACACCACTCACCCATCATCAAACAACCCAGCACACCTTGGTAAGGTGAAGGGCTACCTTACTTTGACATGCAAAGCTCCCATCTCCTTAGTGAAGTGAAGACAGTCACGCTGACGGCTCTGAAATCACCCATCATGGGCTTGCTACACACAAACCAGGCTTCCCGTTCACCATGGTGACCTGAGGAGACCCACGCTGAACCGGGAGTACAGAAACACAGACTCACCTCTCCTCCAAACCTTGCTTTTCTTAGAGTTGGACCATACCACAGCAACGGCACAAATTCCCGTACAGGGAAGGTGGGAGCAGAACCCACGCATATGAAGGGACTAACCTGCTCTTTTCTCCAGATGTCTCCCCATCCACATGCACTGGAAAACGTATTTTTGTGCAAACAAAATGAAATTTCTACTTGGATATGGGAAAATTCAGGATTAATCATTTGATCCCCGTTCCACCATATGTTCAGCAGCCTTCTCAGAGCAGAACTTAGCGCACAGAAGGAACTCACCAGCAGAACTTGCTCCTCTGATGTCCCCACCCTCTTGCTGACTTGCTCCCTTTCTCCATCTGCATATTTTGCAATACAGCAGCCCCCTCCACAGCACATTCCTTCTGCATCACTGGCCTGAAATTGTGTAAATATTCCCTATTGCATCAGATGGAAGTTCTCAGACTGCTGCAGTAAGTCATCAAAATACTCTTGCAGATTAACGGTCTGTCAACGGCTTGGATTTTCCTTCTTGTGAGGAAGAAGGTGGCTTTGCCGTCTTGGTGGAGGTTCTCCTATTCACGGCTGCTTCTTCAGGCTCCACTCTGCCAGAAGCACTGCGATATTTGAGAGAGCATTTTTGGAGGTAACTTCAAGGCCAGAACCAGGAAGCACAGGGTATTTTGCAAGAAAGTTCAGTGTTGCAAAACTAATGCCTAGTTCCTGGCAATGAGGTTTCGCATAAACAGTGGAATTGTGGCTATTTTAGGGACATCAGTCAGAAGATGGTGAAAGTAAAAAATGGGGAAGGAAGACTTTTGCACGACATTTTTTTGTCCTGCTCCTTGCAGATTTTTGTGTGGTTATCTTCCCATCTATCCAGGGAGAAGATTTCCAACATGGGGGGAGGAGGGCAATAGTGCTTAAGGACCTATAAAGAGCTAGAAAACAGGAAATCTTTGAATCAACTGAGATGCATCGTTTCCAGCTTGTACTGTACATTGAAGAACACCCCTCCTCTTTACGCCTTGTCTCTGCTGAAGCAGCCAACAGCAGAAAAGCTGGAACCATCCAGTGTGCAGCACCTTCCCATGAGCACGTTTTAAAGACAGAAGGTCTCCAAATGCACAGGCTCCTTCTAGTCCCTCCTCGGAGTGACACACGGCGCGTGATGAGGGAATGACTGTCCTG